TTCCGCGAGATGCTATGACATCATTATCGTTTGTGGACATAAGCTACCTAGAAATTAGATCGACGCAATTTGCATTAATGATGAAAGTAAGAAGGATTCCGGTGAGTTTGAAGAAAGTGGTACAAGAACTTGTTCAAAGTTCCTTTTCTCCTTCTCCGCAGCTAAGGCTCCGAGTTTTTCTCACTACTCGATATTAAATCTCGCGCAACGCATCGCAATTTTTGCCGGAATATTTCCCATAAACTAACTCGAATATTTGCGAGCAGCTTCTTTAACTTTTTAATTATCTAGATCTAGGATAACATAACTTATACGATTGATGCTGATTGATTCGTGGGAAACAGCGAACCGTATTGCAGAATTGCACCGCGCGCGAATCGAAGGGGCATCGCTTTCATGCAGAGCAGACTTGGTACCAATAAACATAATAATCGCGTTCGCAAACTAATTGGGCGAATGAATTGCGATAAACACGCGGCGTATTACCCAGGGGAGAACATTTTGACACATTTCTGACGTGGTTCCGGTGTCGCGACTTCACGCGGCAATGTTACACGTAGCGAACGTGCGCGGAATCAGAATGGACTCTGTCCGCGTGCGGTAAAAATAAAAGAACGAAAAAATTTCGTTCGAACGAAAAAGTTGATTAATGTTCTGTCACAACTTACAAACAAGATTCCGTCGGGAGTGTCGCGATTTTTGCGTTACCCGCGAACAAACGAGTGCGAAATTATTTTTTATAATCGAGCTGTCGCCGCAGAATTCGCGGTATTTCCGTTCCTTCCCTTCCCCCTCCGCGGCGAGTGGTTTCCAGCTTTAATTTTCACGTGGGTCGATTCGTCGTAATTTCCGCGCGGTATCTTTTCGCGCAGGGCGAAAACGGAGCTCGCTGTCGCGAGCATTGTGTACGTGCCGTAAGTTTATCCGCCGAGGTATCTTTAGTTTCGTCGCCGCCATTACTTTTCATCTCTTATATCCCTTAGCCCCCTTTTTTCATCCCTCTCTCGCGCTGGCAGCACGACGCGACGCAATACTACGCTTCGAAGTTCACGCTCGCTCTCATTTCTCCCGTGATAATAGAAGCAAATTCAATTGTACGTATAACACGATAATAGAGACTCCTTATTCGTTGCCGGCGTGCGCCTCATTTGAATTTCGATCCTCGCTTTGTATCCTTTACGCGGATGCCGTCACGCCGTAAATTACTCGTCGCGAATTGTTTTGAGTTATTTTTATAGCACGTACGGAATTGTGTCTTTGATGCCTGAGATCGTATATTGCTAGCCTTTGTAACCGTATCTTCAGCTTAACTAACTGGTATCTTCTGCCTTAAATAAAATGCGATTATGTAACGTAATCAAATTGTTACGGTTTAATGGCGAAAGATTATCTTTCTCTTTCTCTCGAAAAAGGCATATCCAATTTATTTTGAATTCTGATCGTAAAATATCAATCGAGAAAAATACTCCGAAATTGTACTCTTAATATTCTCATATCGTTAAGATACCGAGCCGTGTGTATTATGCCGTGTGTATTATGGCCGTCCGTTCATGTCATGTTCTTTGGAATAGCAGCAGTCGTATTCCTGAATTCTGAAATTTCACGTCTTGAAATTTACATATAATCTTGAGCTCTCACGCGGATTAATCCGCCTCGTGACGAAAAGGTGCACAGTTTATGTGACGGCGGGTGTCAGAAACACACGCTCGCACCTTCTCTCCCTTACTCCTTACAACGGCGACGCATCGCCGTCTCCTTTCGTCTTCCTTCACGAGCGAGTGATAACACGTGATTAACGTTCTCGTTATCCGTCACGCCCGGCATCAATTCTTCGTACTTGCCCTCGCCCCCCCCCCCTCCTCCTCCTCCATTCCGCCCATTCCCGATCCTTCGTTCCTGCCATTCGCAATAGGTTCGACCTGGACGGGTTTCGCTTACTCTCGTGGAAATTTCGCTTCCGTTCCCATTTCTCTCTTTCCACCGTCCTGCGGTACCGTTTCTGCGTCCCACCTGTCGTCCACACGCTGTTAAACGACAGGGCACGAGGGGACGATGACGACGACGACGACGACGACAACGACGACAACGACGACGAAAGAAAAATGCATGCTCCGAGACGAAATTACTACGAGCTCTGGACGCTCGCGTCACTTTTCACTCCGCGATTAAATATCCTCGGCCTGTCGGTCGCAGAGCGGAAATTTACGCCCATGTCTTTCCATCCCGGTTTCTATTCTCTCGCTTTTCCTCGATGTAGAAATCGAGCCACGTGCGGAATTAGACTCGATAGAAGGGCCGGGAATCGCTGGCATTTTTGGAAAAGCGGCTCGATCGATTTCTGACGAAGCAACAAAGCGAGACGTGACGTTCAATCAATACGTACAAGTTGACTATCCGTGTTCATTTTACATTATCCGTGTTCACGCGATTAATTTAGAATTTTTAAAAAAATTACATGAGCGTACTATTAATTTATTTTTTTTTATAATGCGGACGCGAATTTATATAAATACACGAAATTATCATCAATTTCAGTCATTATTTTTAATATCGGGATACTTTTATTCCGCGCTCTACTCCACCAGCTTTCATTCGCGAATCTTTGAATACGGCAGAGTAAATCTTTAGTTAATCCAGCAGAGATCGCGGTAATTCTTCAGTCCGTTTCAAATGCCAGGTCAAAATTACATCAGAGCGTCCCGTATGGACGCAGCTAATAGCGAGCGTTGCAGGGACGAGGAGCAAGGCGTAGATAGAATGTACGGAATACGCATCTGAACGAAAGTGCAGAGAATCGTCAAACGGACGGAAGCGTAATGGAAAGAGGGGGAAGGGGAATTGCGAAAGGGTTTCCATTCGATCGGGTCTTATCGGTCAGTCATGGCATCGTTTCGCCCGGGGCGCTATTCCGATCGCCTCGTCCGGAACGATGCCATGCGTCACTTGGACCAGGACAGCCCGATGGCCGAGGGTCATCTCGTCCTTTATTTCGTTCCCGCACGCGCATGAAAATGTCCGTAGTCCAAAGAAATATCTCCGCACCCTTCCGTCGCGTGTCCACGAAGCTGAAAGCTTCCAGATGCGCCCTGCACATGAAATTTTTCAACGTATCCGCGAAAGATGCGAAAACGCCATGCTGCAGCGTGGCGAAGTAAATTTCTTAGTACGTAGCTTTTACAACTGAGAGGATGATAGTCTCTGAATGCTCATGATTTTCTCAATTCAACTGTACTCCCCGCGAATTATCTGCGACGGCATCGTAAGGAAAAGTAAGGAAAAATTCCTCTTCGAACATCAAATTAATTTAAAATTTCAACGCATCGTTGTTACCTCGGAAAATAATATCGTC